TTTATCCCACGGGCCTTGTGCGTTTCGTTTCGCTCCCGCCCCCCGCCCCCCCACCCCCCCGCCCCCCCCCCCCCCCCCCCCCCCCCCCTCTCTCTCTCTCGCCATGGCCAAATGTCGGTGTTATCACGTCGTCACGGCTGCCAACGACCGTACGATCGATGACTCTCCTCTGCCCTTTTGGTCCGTAGTGTCATGCACCTCGTAATAGCCATGATGACAGCCTCTTAAGCGGACGAGACATAATCCGCTGCTGCCGCCCATCGTAGTCTAGAAGAGTTATTTGCATTGCTGTCCCAGACGGTCGGGACTGGCATTGCAACCCTCCGGTGCAGTGAAGACGTGGTGGCATATGGTGAGAGGAAAGACGGGCAGCTAGGCTTCCGGACATCCCTTCGCTTCCATTGGCATCCGGGCCTGGTCTGCGTCCGGGTGCGCTGTAAGTACCTGGTGTTCATCATTCCGCCTTTTGCTCTCCTACGATCGACTCTTCACACAGCCACCAGTCGGCCAGTCGCCTCATACGGGGTTATCGTAGCGTCACTTGATCTACCCGAGTCGTCATTCATCGGCTCCGCTGCTGGCCTCGATACCTATCTACTTGATCTCCTGCACGCGTCTCCACTTCTTCCTCAAGCACTGGGTACGTCGTCGTGTCTGTACCGCCCCGAAACCACCACATATCATATCCGACCCGGTACCAGCCCATTTCGGCTCGAGCTTCAGCGCCCCATCCGGATACACAGGCTCGATCGCGAGATGGGATCATTGACGGCGAGGCCAAATCCCATAGTTACCTCGAAAATTACCATCTCACGACTTCGTAGTTCGTTGGTTTTTGGTTGACTTACGTAGTTCCTCGATCCTGGTCTCTCTCGGCCTACACTACTCGATGCTGGCCATAATGGCTGCCCTACTTTTCCGCTCGGAAGACCATACGTTGGCGTTTGGGATAGGAAGCTTTTTCTTCCTTTTTCCTTTTCACAACTCATGGGCCGGTACAATTGGCACAGAATACTACAGTACATAGTATGTATACAGCATACGGTAGTGTATGGCGAACTCAGTGCGGCACAATTACCCCTGCTCATCCTCTTTATCCACATTCCATCAACCCTTGTCGCTTGCATTTCCATGAATAGGTTAGGAGACTGTACTAACACTATCTCCAAGTACTAGTATACTGGTGGCCGTTTTTGATACGTTACCCACGAACTGTCCATGCCAAATACGTGTACCAACTAAATTTCTCCCCACTGAGGTGGTATACAGAGAGAGCCGGCTAGGTCACTACCGCAAAAATCTCACACGTTTATTCGATACTACTGCTGCGAATTGATTACTTAGGCTCACATATATGTGCTCACGAGCGCTGCAGTCCTACTAGTATTTGTAGACTACGTTAGTAGTGCTACCGGGACACGCGCGCTACCGTTGCTCGCTGTATCGCTAACTTTTGTGTCGAATTCGCGCATTCCCTAGCAGCTTGCTGTCACGGTGTCCTTATGTGCGGCTTGTTACTCTGCCGCATTCTCGTCTCCCTGTGGTCTCGAGGACACTATCAGTGGCCGCTCCTCCCAAGGGAGATTTCTAGATATTCCTACGAAACTTTGGCCCAAATCGCCAGATCCGCTTCCGCCCATCGATGGCTGCTGCAGACTTCAGCGGCGAGTTAGGCAGAACAAGCTGGTAAGACCACTCATCCCCCTAGGTTGGGGATGATTGAGACCCCGAGTCCACAGATGGCAATATGATTTCCATACCTCTGGGTCTGCGGCCCTGCAAGCTACATGTACGGTAGGTATTCAACTTCTGCCATGTGCTTGGCAGAGGCACAGTGCTGGCTGGCACTGTTTCTTTGATCCAGACCCCGTAACCCAGGAACAGGTCAACGGAGGTCACCCAGGTAATCTACATAACCCCCAGATTTGATGCAGTCACAGAGCAACTGATTATGGTCCAACTGTTGCACCACTCCCCTTTCCCAGAAATATGGCAGCTCGTCGACATGAAAAGTAGACTCGCGGTGCGTAGGTCCCAAGGCGGCTCGGATATGACTCTCTTGATGACCAAATCTACTATCTATTACCTTTGTCCACCATACTGACTCTGGAACCATGGACGTTCTCTTTACGCTTTGCCTCGATCTCCCATCCTTCGCTAGGCGCCCGTGGCGGGGCTACGCTGTCGACACCCACCCACCCGTTGGCCGATCACTCCTGCCAGGGGTCCCGACTTGAAAAGGTCGAGTACGTATTCTACGGTAGCTATGCAGGTCTACATGCGAGTACAAGGCGATGGGTTTCACCTTGTGCTCCGTACTGTGCCAGGGTGCTCTCTCATTCCATCCGAGTCCCTCTGATACTGCAACGCCCTGGTCGACCTAGCTCCCAGAGGCCCACAACCTCCATGTCATTTCTCCATGGGCTACTCGTGGTACCGCGACCTCATCGGGTACCAGGGTTCCTTTTGAGTAGCAGAGCTACCTCCACCTTGACATTTTCTGGTAGAAGGCGAGGCTTTGCCAGCCCATCTTTATAACCGGCCTGTCCGCCCGCTTGCTTCACACTTGGTCATGACCTGGGAAGGCAGAATCGTTTCTCTGGGCCTTGTCTTGTGAACGCCTATCACACTAGGTTCTAGAAAACATCGTCACACATGTCTACATATAATACTACTACCGCACCTTCATCACCTTCGTCTGGCTTGTCTGCCCCTACTCGTACTCCCCAAGTACGCTCTTCAAGGCAAGGGACTAGATTGCCAACTACACAAAGGTCACAGATACCTGCCACTCACATCAATATGGACGAGTCGACATATATGTCTCCAAAGGCTGCTCATATACACAACGAATTGCCTGGAGGGTCTCCTCCATGCGAAGAGAAGCACTCGCCGACTCCGCCACCTACTTCTACATACGGATCTCAAGACATGACTCGATCATACTCATCGGTAAGTCGAAGCCCGAAACATGGTGTCATAAAGAGGGCTGGTGGCTTATATATAAACTAGGTCCCTCCCTACAGCCCTTATTCAGTATCAGCGTATGAATCCTCGCTGCCAACTCCTGTATCCGTTGCTGGGTCGCCTTCGGCGACAGAAAGGTCGGGCAAGATGTTATCTACCTATAATCAACAAGGGGGGGCAGCCCAGCAGCTCACCCCGCCAGCAACATCTCGCCCTTGGTCATACACATCTGATATGACAAGCACCTCCTCGGCTCCTATGACGGTGCCTACTACTGCAGCCGAGATGCTAGACATAGATTCCTTGGAATCATCGCATTCTCCAGAGCATCATACAACTGTTGTCGACTCAGCACCGCATTTTCACTGGGGTACATACGGCGTCTCTAGTCATGATTCGACTGAAGAGATGTCCCCGCAACTACCTTATTCAACTGTTCCGCCGTCGCTGTTGATAAGATCACCTTCTTACGGAGTTGCCCCAAGCACACACGTTCCACTCACGCCAGCACTTTCACAAGTTTCAATGCCTCCACACCCTGTGGACACGCGAACTCTAATGGCAAGCGACCTGCATCATCAGTACAGCAATCTCAGCCATATAGCTCTAGAATTTGGAGCATCTTATCCTTCGAGGAGGTCAAAAACTAGGACAAATCGTTCTAATCGATCGGTAAAGAGATGCCGTAATATCGACCCAAGTCTGAGTAAAAACAACGGCATCGGTTATAACAGTGAGAATCCCAACGTCATGACGGGAACCAATGCCCCCGAGCTTCCGCCCCCACAACAACTCACTCTCGACCCCAAAGCTCCGGAGGACTCTCGATTTCTTGTGGACCTACGCTGTCAATTGAGTGATGACAAGGGCAAGGGCATGTGGGAGCAGATCCAGCAAGCATACAAGGAACACTATGGCCACAAAACCAAAGAGAATCTGCAGATGCAGTTGATTCGCACTGTTCAATCATATGCTGAATGGCCTGAATCAGAAGTAAGTCTGCCGCTGAACTTAATAAATCAATGGAATAAGTAGGCTAATTCCAGGGCAGGACCAGGCTTTGAAAGAAGCTGCTGAAGAATATGAGCGACGTCGCTACCCTGAGATAAGGAAGATCATGAAAGAGAAGGGTGGCCGCCGTGTGTGGGACTGGAATGATGGAAGCATAGCGAAGCGGTTAGTCCAGATGGGAGTCGACGAGATCGACCAGCGAGACCCTATTAAGAGAACTCGCCGAAAGCGGAAGAGCACTGTCCGTCAAAAGTCCGGTGGTGAGCCTTGGGTGGGATGTGTGAATATCCAATATAATCCCGAGCCACGCCAGTTGTCCGTGGAAGAGGATGAGATGCTCCTAGAGGCATTCTGCAAGACAGAGCCAGAATCTCCACGCCCGGAACATGTGCCTGAGCATCGAGCAACTTCTTGCACCGGCGGTGATAAGGATACCGACGATGACCCCAGCGCACGCGTCGCAAAACAAGCGTGCGATCAAATGCTTTCCGAACGAGGCGAACGTTTCTATAATGGACAGAATCGATACATGGCTTAAGAGGTGCATCTACTACTTTATTTGGCGACAGACAAAGATACCCCTTGATGTTACTGGCAGCAATACCCGTGGGCAAAGCAGCATCCTCCATGTTGTACATTTTCAGCAAGCGGTTGGAATAAAATACTGTTTCATCACTGATACCAATCGGCGTACACCGTGGTAGAAGGATACGGCATCGCGAGATGACTATGTATCCATCAATGAAGCAAACACTACGGTCACCCTCGTGGTAAAATTGCCCTTTTCCATTTACGCATTATATTGGAGTGATGAAGGACTTACCAAAACGGGTGCCTATTTCACCTTAAAACCGCCGCACTACCCTTTTAGGAGATTTAAGTTATACAGATTAGTTCACATCAGGTGGCAAGCCTAAGCGTTGGCGTTTGGGGACATTTCACTTATTTTATTTCGGACGTTTCAAATATTGGTATGAGACTTAAGTTGGGTTATGATTATTCCATAGATGAGGTGATCATCAAGAGAACAAAGAAAAACACTATAAAACCAGAGAGTTGAGGCAGCATGATGAGCTGGCTCATGATCCTAACCAACTTTTTGTAAACATGATAAAATGTACGATTACGTTGAGCTGTAACTATTAGACTCCATATCGTTATTTGACACCATAAACATGTTTATCGGTTCGATAGCCCAATCTCCTGTTCAATACAATGTCTGGAGTCTCGACTGCCATTGTCAGGTCTTCACACCCCCTTTTCAGCATTGATACCCTGTGGAGTCGAACACATCAAAGCTTCTTTGATGTGCCGGTGAAGATCACCCAGTCACATTCTCAAGGGTACAGTCTACCATGCCAAGAGACCTACTACGCCGTCTGATTGCTTCGAGAGTCGCCTTGGATTGGCCTGATCTCATTGTCAGTGTCAGCGTCGCGACTGAGGCCATGTGCTTTGGCAAGTTTCCGCGCTTGCGGGAACCCTTGCGCCCCCATATCCCTAGTCCATGCTCCGCCCCAATTTTGCCGAAGACACGTGCGAGACCGTGTATCTAATGCTTGTTGGGGGCGGCCCTGCACCCGACTTTCTTATTTTTCTCTCTATTCTTCGTATCTACATGCTTCCTTCGAGCTTCGGCATCTTCAAACCCCACCGCCCACTCCGAAGCCAACGCACTCTTCTTCTCTAGCTTATTCCGGCCCTCGCGTTCTTCTTACTTTCTATTCTGGAAGACAGGTAGCCGACCCTCGACGCTATGCGTTACTACGCTACGCTGACACTCGCTCGAACCGTGATGCAAGCCACACCGGCAGCCGATTGTTATCAGTTGCGCTATGCTGACACGGTAGGCACTCTAAATTCCACAAATCCTAAACCTAAACATACGTCTCGCCGCAGACACGCATGCTCGCACTCACCGCCCAAATATCGTGATCGAGCGCTTTGTAATTGATATCTCGGGTGGTGCAACTCAAAACACCGGCCTGGAAGATAATCATGCGGATAGATTGCGCCACTGAGCAATGCCGAGGCGCATCATTGGGACAATGAAGTAATCTAGACTACTCTGCCATATGGACATGCGAACTGATGAGGACGCTACACATTGCTACGCCGCACTGCGCCGCGCCGATCAACAACGTACTATGTACTGATTCCTACCGCAATTTTTCTGAGTAGGGTCGACGGTTACAAATAGTTGAGACTCAGTGACATCGAAATACACCTATTCTATTCCAGCGTTAGGTAATCTCTCCACCCGTCGGCAGGAGCAATACTGACTAATGCTGCTATTCAGACATCTGTTGCGGGTTTGGTTGGTGTGTAACGCCGATAGTTAACTTCGTTAACTCCGTGTATGACGTTAATATCGTGACCACCTACTTCCGTGGAAGTCAAATGATCTCAAGACTAGGGCTGGTCTCCAAGCTTGGTTTATACTATTTTTATCGGTAAACAGACTCAGTTTTCGGGGTCACTATCCTGATTAGGAGGCCTGCATCAATATGGTTCTATCTTCGATCTTACAAGCTCAGATAGCGCGTATACAAATCTATGACGGCTTCGCCAGACACCTGATTGTGGCGTCCCGGTCCCCTTCCTCTTCGACTCTTCAGATCGATGAAACATCAGAAACCGGCATCGAAAAAGATGTATGATTATGAAAGACCAGTGAGCAGCTCACCGCATGAACATGGTGCTACGTATTTGGAAACCTTGAGGAGCTAAGCCGTAATTCAAATCTTGGGTATGGAAGATCAATGGGTGGGGAGGTTACCAAATCCACCCCGTCAAGCTATTCTAGAGCTAGAAGGAGCACGGTAGAGCATCTCTGCATGTAAATCCCGAATACGCAGGCCATGCCCGTGATGTAATCATTTCCCTAGGCACAAGCATACAATGAACGTGACTAATTTCTCACCAGATTTCCAGAAGGCTGTGTTATTCATTCATATGTGAGGCTCCTTCCGGTCTAGCCATCTGGGTTTTAGATGCACATAGCTGGTCACCACGTGGCGATGGCATGGTTCTTGAGCTCACATCCGAGATATCACGATGTTGTGCCTAGCGTGTGGCACATATAACGTCGATCCTACACTAGCCTCGGGACTCACATCAAGTATACCAAGCAGGATTTCTAGGGTGAAGCTACGTCGTGCTTATCCCGAATCCGACTCTCTTTTTCTGTGAAACCATTCTCACTAAAGAATCCGTCAGTGGGTCGCTTTCCCCAGAAACCTGTCGCTGCTTACAATTCTGAACCTGCAAGCGCCGCTCTGGACTGCTAAGCGCCAGTCTTATTCAGCACTGCCTCGCGATTACCAGGGTAAAGGGTATAGTGACTATGTTATCAAATGCCTTTGAATATCGCTAGCTCGATTGACTTTGTCTTTCGCTTGAGGCGCGGATACTAACAAGTGCCGGGTCTTACATTGCTTAGCCTTGCGATCATATTCAAATCTCTCAATAACGACAGGGTTGCCCGGCCGGAGCTCAGAGTAGACTAAAATAGAAATCTGTATACTGAGAATTATCGAGGTAGCTTGAACGCTCCAGGAAGGAAGAAAAGTACATAGTTATAGTAGAATACGCAGCCAACTCTTGCTACATGACCTTAACAGACAAGTAGCAGAGCACTTGGAAGACATGGATATAGAGGCATTAAGCAACCGAGTGTATTGAGATTGGAGGTACGGCGTGAAATTAGCTACCCCAGCATTGACAGATAAAGGCGAGGCCTGTTGGCGTGAGCCGCATATGGGATCGAGCTGAAGCGCCGTTGACAATCCATCCTTCTTACTAGGAGTGACGGAGTTGTGTCCCTGACCCTGATTAGCTGCGAGTAACTGCCGTCCACCAAATGATCTGCTGTAGCCGAGGATCTGCGATCATCGTAAGCTTCACAGCTGTAGGTATCACAAGAGGCGGCACTGTGTACTGAGCATGTCGGTACGAATGGAAGATGGACACAAGGAATAGACCTGTGAGATGTGTGAAAGCTGCAATGTGTCACATTCGAACCACTCTGCTGGTAAATTGGAGAAGGATCCGACGATGCCATAGGCTCGATGCAATGGTTGCATAACACGGATTGTGACATAAGTAAGTAGGTCCCTGTTACCTTGCTCTGCCTTGCCAATGTGATCCTGAAGCACTAACAGAACGTCTTACAGATGTCCGCTATTGCCTGGGTTCCCTAGTAAGTAGCCACACACTGTACGTAGTTTACCACCTAACCCCGTTATTTCTGTTGAAATTTTCCTATCAATCATGGAAGGTAACATTGAGCCGTCAAAATCAGAAGTCCAGTGCAGAACTAGGTGATTTGAACGGGGATACCATCCCGGGTCCCGGGACTCAGGAAGCGAAGGTCAAATCGCGTGTAACTGAACTGAAATAGCAGGTCGAATCTGCCCATTGAAAAAGCATGCATACATACAGTAGAATGTCCTACCTACCACATGTGTAGAGAATAGTATGCGTGACACGCCAATAAAGTGCTGACAGCTCTCTGGTGCCATCGCTCCGTAAATCCGTTACCCACTGTGATCTGGCGGCTCGTTCCTAGATAGAGTAGGTAGTGCTTCTAGGTAGTGTGGTTTGACTAGACAAGGGTGAGCACTATCATGGACATACACTAGTGAGGATCGGATCATCGGTCGTGCGGTCTTTGAAAGAAGTTCAAGCATCCCTGGCTAGCGACATATAGAATGGATATTGTGTGGAAACGGTGTTTGAATGTAATTGTATAGCTAGCGATGATAATGGGAGTCGTAATGCTGTACTTGGTGTGTAGCCGATGTGGCCTCTGGAGTGCAAAAATAGACACAACTCACTATATGTAAGTGTGTGTGGTCAGGGCTGGCTTCCTAACAGTTGGTAATAATCAACAAGAGAACGTCACAGAATTTGGTGCTCTCTTCACATAGACAACAGCCTTGCCTCGATGATCTAATAGAGCGCAACAAATTCCGCGATTTGTTAGTTCGTTCCAGCACAACCGAAGCTAGCGCTTTGCGTGTGTATGTATGTTTACCTAGATAGGTTCCTTGCTTGCACCCTTCACTAAGGTATAAACTACGATCCACCAGACTCTACACTACACACAAGCCTCTCAACAACACTAGCCTAGCCCTAGTCATATAAAATTCATGTTATTGCTGTCAAGTCCAAGTTCCGAGCCGTTCCTATGTAGTCTCCCGGGGCATACACACCTAGTGTACTAGTACACTAGATACTCTCGATATCCATTACCTATATCGATAGTTAATGGAGACTATTGCACTGATGTACTCCAGGTATATGTAGTAGGAATGCTTACTTGAACTGTGTAAAACAAAGGTTTGTAAGCTCGTGACATGGTTCAGAGAAGGATCTGCTGTACAGTACTTAGTAGAAGGATGACTGAGCCTGAGCAAGCTCCTGCACGTCCTAGCATCTGCTTTACCTAAAAGAAAGCCAATCTCTGGTTGGCCGAATATATGAGATCTAGTTTCTTGCTAGATGCCGTTCGTGGAGAAACCCTACTTACATACACAGGACTGTGTACATAATAAAATAGAGGCTCGACACCTGGAAGTACGCTTCCGGGATGGGGCCGGTAGTCACCCTCACTCTGCCCTTACCTTACCTGGTTCAAGCTGCGGTCATAAAGTGGGAATACCGGCAATCGTAGGCGTTCTGTGTCTGGCGTCTAAAGTTCCTTAAACCGTTACAGGGGACTGTCGATCCCTGCTCAAAGGCTTTTTACCTCGAGACTAACTCTGTAGAATTTAGCGCTTTGTGCTCGGCTGTCGGCTAACACCTCCAATAACAACACACTAAGGCAATGATCTTATGTAGCGTAGAAAATTGCGAGTCATGAACAGACTACATACATGGCGCGAGGAACGGTTGTCGTAGCAAGTGGGATCGCTCTGGATCTTGTTAATTTGAATGTGAAAATCGACTTGAGTTCGTGTTGCTTGAGCCAAGGAACGAGCGACGAATATTGCGTCAAGACACTGGCAAGGGACAATTCTCATCCGCAACGATGAGTGTACTAG